CAAAAACAGTCCAGCTGAGCCTATCAAACCCCAGAACTGTGAGACACTATATTGAGATGGTTAATTATCCAGCAATAGCCTACCTGAATGGGCTTATCATAATGAAAATTTATATCTTGCCTATGCAGAGTCCATTTAGAATCCAGGAGACTGTCCAGGGCGCTGTCCTCCCTAACGCCTCTCAGCAATTCAGGCTTCTCTGGTCCTGGAAACTCCTAGATCATGACCTTTCGTGTGTGTGTGAGAGAGGAAGATTTGCCCTGAGCTAACATCTGTGCCAGTTTTCCTCCATTTTGTATCTGGAATGCCTCCACAGCATGGCTGAGGAGTGGAGTAGATCCGTGCCCAGGATCTGAACCTGTGAACCTGGGTTGCTGGAGCGGAGCGCATGGAACATTAACCACTTGGCCACAGGGCTGGCCACTCATGACCTTTTCCCTAAGGTTCCACAGCAGGCAAAGGGAACACTGGAGCATCTTGCACCAGTGATTAAATGCTTCAATCTGCAAGTGATACACATTCACATCCCTTCTGCTTGCAGACCAGTGGCCAGAACTTTTACACTAATATGCGTGACTTTGAAGAGGGTGTGAAAGCATCCTCCTCTGCAGACTGGGAAAGAGAATGGAACTGGATATGCACCCACCACACTCTTCCTCTTTCTCCTGCTATTGCGTCACCTCATCAGAGTCCAAGCAATTCCTTTTCCACTAAGAACCATGTGTTTTTTGTGAAATCATAGTTGACCCTTAGTGCCACCATTGGTAACTACTCTAGGGACAAAAACTCTTTCTCTCAGTACCAGGTACCAATCTTCCTAAAATTGTACTTCCATTCTTTAAACATGCAAAGGATTAAGCACTGACCTAGTTACCTGTTGTTGCATAACAAATTACCCCAATCTTAATGGCTGAAAACAACATTTATTATTTCATAGTTTCTGTTGGCTGGAGGACCCAGTTAAGCTGTTCCCTCTGGCTCTGGGTCACTCATAATGCTCAGTCATCTCAAGAATAGGGGAAGAATCTGCTTCTAGGCCAGTCATGTGGTTGTTCACAGAATTTAGTTCTTCCAAGGCTGTTGGACTGAGGCCTCACTTCCTCACGAGAACTTGTCTAGAGGCCTCCCTTAGTTCCTTGTCACATGGAGCTCTCCATATGGCATCTCAGAATGAGCCAGCAAGAGAAAAAGAGATGGGGTCCCAGGTTTTTGTAACCTTATCACAGAAGTGATATCCCATTACTTTAGCTATATTTTATTCATTAGAAGTGAGTCCCGTGGACCAGCCCACACTCAAGGGGAGATGATTACACAAGGGCTTGAATACCAGGAGGTGAGGGTCTTGGAGGCCATGTGGGAAGATGCCTATGCCAATCACTACTATGAGTTGGGTATTGTGCTCTGCAGGGATGCAAAGACATATAAGGCAAAGCCCTTAACTGTGAAGAGTTCCTACTAGGGGTTGGAGGAATGAGGAAAGAGGGTTATAACTACATGTAATTATATACAATGTGATAGAGTTATACGGGGAAGAGCTATTAGATCCAAGAAGAGAGAGCAGCTAATTCCGCATGACTATTGGAGGTACAGTGTGAGCTACACGATAGAGGCTGAATAATGATTCACTAGGCTACTAGAGAAGAATAGGGTTCTAAGCAGAACAAAGAGGCAAGGAGGCATATAAGTATCTTGTATTTTTTTTGTTTTTCTAGAGAACACAGATCTTTTTCTAGAGAACACATATATATATTTTTTTTTCTAGAGAGCACAGATCTAATGAGACAGCAGCTGCAGTATCGTTAAAGCTGGGTGTCCCTCACTCTTCTGTGAGGTGCTGGCCATGCAGACTTTTTCCTTGGTGGGTTCTTACTACCATGCTGTGGACTCAGAAATAGCCACACATGATTCTACTTAAAGACTGTCATCCAGAAGGGGTAGATGAAGAGGGGATGTCGGAACAGGAAGTTAATGGGACGGAGTTTAAGAAAAGGGAGCCAACTGTTTGTCCAACAAATTCCAGCATACTACCACTTTCTATGGACACAACGATTTTAACTGAAATAATGTGATGTTGATTACACTGTAAATTTGGGAATGGCCAATATTCCTATGGTAGAAATGTGATGCAGTGGTGATAAATGTGCAGATCTAGGGGTATAAGGAAAGGGTATTTGGATTGTAACTCCCTCTTGAACCCTAAAGAAGGGGAAGTAGGTTGGGGACCCATTGTCAACCCAACCTCACATCACACTGTAAAAGATTTCACCAGTGATCACTATGTGCTTCGGAAACGGGGAGTAGCTTTGTGTTACTGGAGCATAGGCGATTGTGGGGATGGTGGAACGTAAAGTGGGCAAAACTGAAGCTGGACTGTAGAGGACTTTGTGTACCATGTAAGTCAATTTGACTTTAACCTAGGAAAAATAGAGAGTCTTACAATCATTGTAGCATGTTGTGCCTCCAAATAATAAGAAGTAACCTTTGTTGAATCATATCGTGAGCCGGGCATTATATTTATCTCATTTAGTCTTCACGGCCATCTTATGCGGTAGGCTCTATTACTGCCTGCATTTAAACAGAACCTCGGTGTCAACTAGTTTTAGCCCTAAGTCACAGAGGTGGGAAGTGTCAGGCCGAGAGGCCAATCATGGTCTGACAGCACCGCTCCCTGACCTTGGTTTGTGCCACCACACTGCACATTTGTTCCTACACATTCTTGCTACATTCCTTCCTACTGAACTTAGTCTGAAGGGTAAGAAATGCAATTTTTGAACACACATTTAGTGTTAGATATGGAAAAACCTTCAACAGTCAGTATCTTTCGTGCCTCAGATATACTCTCTCTTTTCAATTTTTCATTTTGCAAATTTTCCAACATACGCAAAAGTAGACAGAAAAGCAAAAATGAGTTTGGCTTCAACATTGACGTTGTCCCATTTTTGTTTCATCTGTCCTTCCTTCACTCCCCACATTTCATTTCTGGAGTTTTTTTAAGTGAATTCTAGATATCATATTACTTCAACCATAAATATTTCACTATCTGTAACCAATAAAGATTTTTAAAAATATGGTCATAACACCATCAACACACCCAACAAAATTAATAGTAATTCCTTAATATCAGATCCTATTTTTAAGAATTTTTTGTTTTTTTTGATGAGGAAGTTTAGCCCTGAGCTAACATCTCTTGCCAATCTTTCTCTTTTTGCTCAAGGAAGATTGTTGCTGAGCTAATATTTGTGCCAATCTTCTTCTATTTTGTATGTGGGATGCCATCACAGCATGGCTTGATGAGCTGTGTGTAGGTCTGCACCCGGGATCTGAACCTATGAACCCTGGCCTGCCAAAGTGGAGCACTTGAACTTAACCACTATACTACTGGGCCAGCCCTAAGAATCTTTCTTTACCAATCGCATATCACGTATAAAAATTGTACTGAACAGAATGGTAGAATCCCCATGCATGAATCTCTTTCTTTTATAAGCACAATAAAATATTTTCCATTGAGATTATAAGATTGATCTGTATCCAATAACAGTGACTTTTAGTAATACTTATTGCAAGGACATTTTCCAAATTTACAATAGTTTGTAAATTTCAGTCATATTTTGATGATAAGACCTGGCTACACTTAGAATTTAGCGACTACTAATTAACACCTAATTCAGGTAAGATCTTCTCTGGAGGCAAAATTAATTCTTCTCTCCTATAAGTACTGATTGGAGACTGACATTGCTACTGGACACAAACACAGGTTCTTTACTTGCCACACAAGAGGGGCCAAATAAAACTGGAATGCCAGGCTTATGCAAGGAAAGGATTTGTATTTTGGGTGACGTCAGCCAGGAGAGGAGAGGGAGCCCTCAAATTCGTCTTGACTCCCTGAAAGATGGGAGGCAAGGGGTTTTAAATGTTGTCAGGCATGTGGCCTTGCTGGTTGGCACCTTCCCACCAGCTTGCGCTTGCCTTTGTGAGGCTGCTTGTAGAGAGGGGGATGGCAAGATGAGGAATGGATACCCTTGGTTGTCTGCCTCTGTGGTGGATGGTGGATTCTGGTGCCCGGCAGCCGAGGACTAAGCAGGGAAGGGGGATGGGTGCTTTTGGTTTTAGCCGCATATATGCTGAGTTTAATGTAGGGGAACTGATATCAAGGCCAGTATTTATTTTATGTGCCCTACAATAGTCTTAGTTGTATAGCTGTTTTTGTTTTAAGCCCAGGACAGAAAACATACTTTTCATGACATATCGACCACATTACCCAGTTTTACACTTTGCACACCTAATAAATTCTTATAAAGCATATTCTGAAAAAGCTCACCAACCCTCTAAGTGTAATTCCATCATACACACTAAAGATATGGTGGTCTCAAGGTACAGATGCACCTTATGCGTATCTGGAAAGAGATCTGGAAATCATTTAAGGATATTCTCATTTTAGATCTGACAAAACTGTAGCCTAGAGAAGTGTGGGGTGCATTTTGTTGCAACCGGCAACATTCTTATTAACTGACTTATTTTATCTGTTAAGACCCACGTTGTAAAAATTTTTATGAAATTAAAATTATTTTTGTCAAACAACACAATTGCATAGTCTAGTTTCACTATTGACTCCAATTAGGGAATGATGCTTCAATTCACACCTGCAGAGAGTACTGACATTTTCCTCTCCCTTTTAGCAAGAGATGCCCACCACGGCCCTCGGCTTTTCATTAAACAGGTTTACCTTGCAGTCCACTTGTTATTTTGGCTACCCCTGAGGAGGGGATGCATTTTTAAATTACGGGCCATATTTCTCTTTAGAAAAACCCACACGCGCCAACCCCACTTCCCGGGGAGCTGGGCACACGCGGTGCATGTTCTAACTTAAGCAACATTGGGTCATCTGTTTATTTTCAGCGCGGCATTCAGGAAGAAAGGGCGGCCGTTGCCATGGCAACCGACACCCCGGGCAACGGCAAGTCGAGGCAGGAGGGGGCGTGGCCTCGGCGAGCCCGGCCGATAAGAGGCGGCGCGGCCGCCCGCGTCCGGAGCGGGGTCTGGGGTGCGGCGGGCGGAGGCGGGGCGACCCGGCGTCTCCTCCGACCACCTGGAAAGGCCCCGTCTGGCAGGGAAGCGAGGCCGCGGGTCCGTCGCCGCTTTCCCCGCACCCAGCGCCGAGGAGCCTCGCTCCGCGCGCCAACATGGCGGCCGGGCGCTGCGGCCCGCTGCTGACGGCGCTGGTGGCCGCCTGGGTCGCGGCGGCGGCGGCGGCGGAGGCCGGCCCCGAGCAGGCCGCGCTGCCTGAGGAGCGCAGCCGGGTGCGGCCCATGACCGCCTCCAACTGGACGCTGGTGATGGAGGGAGAGTGGATGCTGAAATTGTGAGTGTGCCCGCACGCCCCGCTGTCCTCGCTGGCGCTGACCTCCCCGAGCCCGTGGTCGCTCGCGCTCGCCCCTTGCCCGCTGGGCTCGCCCTCAGGCCCGGCCCCGCCCTGCCCAGCCCAGACCTGCTCCCGGGTGAGCACCCGTCACCCCACTCCCCCGACCGCGGTGCGCATGCGCGCCCGGCTGGCCGCGGTGACAGCTGCGGGTGTAGCGCGTATCCCTCGCCTCGCTCGCCTGCTGCTTTGGAGGAGGAAGTGTTTCAGGGATGGGGTGGGTGAGCAACTTACTAAGGGGAAGAGGGGGAACAGGGGACGTCTGCAAGCCAATCGTGTGCTTTTGATACAGGTGTGTATGTAGAGGACAAAAGCGGCACTTCACTGACCTTTATGTCAAGTACAAACGGCGTGGGCGAGGTATTTGTTGAATAAATAAAATTGCAGCACGGCCAAGAGCAGACGAGTTTGTACAAAGTATCTTAGTCTTTATGTTGAAAACCTCGAGATGTCATTGTGAAAAATAAAACAGAAAGATTAGTGCCTTTGAAGTTTTAAAGGAAGATTTCAGATAAATGTTATTTGTTATGATTTTTAGAGGTAGGCCCTTCTGGGTAGATAGCATACCTTAATTGTGCTAGTGTCATGAAGAAAAGGACATTAATGAATTGTGCCTTTGGAACAGTAGGAGGTAAATCGTGGATAGTGCCGTTTCTTGAAGGAGATGGGCAAATTCACTTTTGAGTTAGGAGCAGGCGAGGGATCGGTTCATTGTAGCTTCAAATTAACTTCTATTAGGAAGTGGTTGTTTGAAAGACTTGAAGTACACAGTGGGCAGATGTCTGAACAGGCTGGAGACCATCGTGGCTGGCTGGCAGGGACAATGAAGAATGTCTGGAGAAACGATCACTGAGACCACATCTCCTTGGCTTGTGGTTTCAGGCAGTATACATACTTGATCACTACTATTGAATAATTAATTTTACGTTGAGGTCATAGATGCTCTCGGAATTGGAGCTTTCCTTTATTTGTCCAAGACCGGATTTTGAATCTTTGATTTAGATTGCAAGCAGACGCCTATCGAATGGAAACCTCAGTGTGAGATCACGGCCAAAGTTATACATCACTTAGCGGATCCCATTGTTCAAAGAACATAATACACATTACCTTCCACACAGGTATTTATCTTTTGGTCACAAAGAAAGGGATGTTTTAGACCTCAAAGTAAAATACCTTTGGTATAGTAATAAGTCAATGAAATTATTAAAGAGATCTGTAGACATGAAGCACTTATTAAAATAAACCATGTAACTACTTTGATTGAAGGTGAGAGGGTCAGTTTCTATTTAAGAGAGAAACTTTTCCAGTAGAGCTTTATTTAGGACTGTCACGTTCCTAATAATTGTAAGAGTTTTAGGGAGACTTCATTTTGTCAGCTAGTTCTATGCAAAGATCTGTTTTTTTCGTAGGTGCTTACACAACAGAGTTTTTCTAGTTGTCAATTTTCTGATTAAAACTGAGTTTGTATATGTCCGTGTTGAAGGTCAAAGCAGAAAGGGCTGGCTGTGTTTAATGGCCTCAACTGCTTCATAGTTCCTTTTGAAATAGCTATGATTTTTTTTTTAAGTAAGAGAACCAAGGACTCTAAAACTCAGGTAAGTTTAAGCCACATGAATCTTCTAAGTGAGCAACAACCAAAAGCTCCTATGTTTGGCCATGTTGATGGTTCGAATTTTAATTCTTCATAAATGTGAAAGCCTAGACATAGTAATCAGTTGCTCGAAGCTTGCCATGTATCCACTGGGCTGTGTTTGGGCTCTGATGCAAGATCAGATGAGACATGAAACCGGAAGTAAGCTGTGTAGGCACTTGAGATCATTGTAGAAGTTCTGTTTTTATCGAACACACTTCAGAATAGGTCGAGATGAAGTGAGGCTGGAAAGGAAGGAGGTATAAACCATCCCATGCAACTTCTTTCTAAACACCAGAACCTAAGTGCTCGTCTTGAAGAAATACTGTGGCTCTTATTTGTGATCCTTCCTCTCCTCTCTTTGACAAAATCCAACACTTTAAAAAATATATAAAATTCATTATATTCTCAGTACCACTATAGACCTATTATAAGTTTCTAAGCCTTCATTCAAACAACCAATAAATGATCTGATTTTTTTCTGATGTATATAGCAGGGAAAAGGAGAATGTGTTAATACTATCTTCCATGTTAACACTTTGCTCAGGTGAACTGGTCATAATAAATGGAGATTGTTATAGGGGTCCACAGATGATGTGTTTAACTTCCCTAAAGAAGCAAGTTAGACTTTCTGACAATATTAAAAATTTGACGTTACTTTGATTGACAATTTTTTATTTGTTCATTTGCTTGTATGCTGCCTCTCTTCTGGGAATTTTTTCTTGTGTATTTCACTTCATACAAAGCTCCTATAATGAAATTCCTGGTTATACTGGTGTTGATAATTTAATTTATTTTAAGGACCTAGCATTGTTTGTCTACTCTGAGACATGAATAGCTCCTATTATAAAATTTAATTTGTTATATTTTCTTTGTCTTTCAAACAGTGAATTTTTTGGATCTATGCAAGTGAATTTTCAGTTTTAAAAAAGAACTTCTCTGTTTAGGAGAAATATCAGTTAAAAATGTATTTGCAGTCAAATGCAATTCAATTTCAAATTCACCATTTCAATTCTGAAAGCTTTTTTAAGATCTGAAAAATTATCGCGTTACTATTTATATTTTCATGAATGCTATGGACTTACTGTATATTCAGTTTTTCTCTTCCTGTTTGCTTGCATATATTGTTTTATATTTTTTACCCCTATTTCTGCCATGTCTCTAGAATTGACTTGCTATGTTTTTTTCTCTCAACCCTTGATGAAAAGTTTGCCCTTTCTCTGGCTTAGGAAAGATGATCTAATCTTTAAGCCTTCTGATACTTTCTTTTCTCTATTTCCCTTATTTCATACTGTCCTTCATTCAGTTGCTTTGTAACCTTTTGCTATTTTAAACACTTGCTTGGCTCCCATTATCTCAGTCCTTGAGAATACTACTTTAGTTCTTTTGAAACACAAAAGCATGCAGTATAATATATTCTGTATATTCTTCTGGTGGGTTTTTTCCCCCAAAGAAAGAAGTAGATATTCAAGTAGCTTAGTTTTGGCCTGCCTACCTTTAAACTGGTATCCAGAGAAGTGTCTTTGGGTTAAATTAATGTACCTCTGTAAAGCATAGAGATCTTCATAAAGCACTACTTTTTCTGACTTTGTTCTTGTGGGGATCATATTCCAAAATTGAAATTAGTCATCTGGTGATGGAGGAAAGCTTCATTTCCTTAGGATCTCTAGGTTTTAGTATTGTTTTTTCAGTATTTTTCTTATACCTGGAGCAAACATCTTCAACAGCACTCCCTTACCAGGCCCATATCAAATAGTTGTAATTTCTTGTAGTTTAGTAGATTGTCTTAATTTGTTGGTTGAATGTTTAAGAGATAGTCATTAAATACTTGTGTGTTAGGTTCAGTGTTGGGACCTGGGCAGCTGAAAATGAAGGAGCTACGTTCCTTGATTTCAAAGGACTGGCAGTCTATTGTGCTTTGAAGGAAATAAATGACGTATGTAGCTTTCATTTATCTTACAAATGTTTACTGAATGCTTCTTTTCTGTCAAAGCAGTGGTTCTCACCAGGCACTATTGGCATTTTGGGTTAGACAGTTCTTCGATGTATGGGGTTGGCCCACACAGTGCAGAACCTTTGGCATCCCCGGCCCCTGCCCATTACATTCTGGTTGTCACATGACAAAAAAAATTTAACAACCTCCTTTCCCTCTGCACATTTCCAAGTGCTGCTGACTGAAAACCACTGCCCTAGGTACCGGTGTGGGTATTGAAAAACAGCAGAAGTGTAGCTCATAGGCTAACCTAGAAGTGTTTGATTTCAGAGTGTTTCCACAAAGGGTATTCATTCACATCACCTTCTTCCTCATCATCATTTCAATCACAGTAAACAGTTGCGTTACTTACATCACATATTATGAGTGCTGCCTTATTTGATCATCTCAACAATCTGGTGCAGAATTATCGTTCTCATTAACTTGAGGAGATGAAAATTTGAAAAGGTTAAAGCTTTGGTCAAGGCCAGATCCTTAGTAAGTGGTAAGCAAGGCCAGAACTGGAAGGCAGCCCTGAGCTTTGCAGTCCCAGATGCAAGCCAGGGAGAGTAGGTGGGTAGTGGGAGAACCTGGAAGGAGGCACAGAACCTGGCTGTTTGGTGCTTAGGCTCTCAGCTGGCCAGCACCCTGACCCACATGAGTGGAGGCCTTTTTCCTGTAGGATTCAGAGGCCCACCCATGGTTTTACGATCTCTAGCTTCTGCATATAAAGAGCGTCATTGCTGTATGCTCACTCCTGACTCTTCTCACCACTCAAACAGATGCCCCGCCTTCGCTATAGCCCAACCCCAGGAAAATTCTTTCTTACTGTGCCTTGTTTTCATCTAGCATGGCCCTTATCACAACTTGTAATTATAAATTAGTATATGTACTTTTGTATTATGTTTTGTCTGACTACTAGATGATAAACTTTAAAGTAGAAAAATTGTTTATCTCTGGAGCCTTAATAATTATCAAGTACTAGGTGTTCTATACGTAAACTTTTTTTTTTTTTGGGTGAGGAAGATTGGCCCTGAGCTAACATCTGTGCGAGTCCTCCTGGATTTTGTATGTGGGATGCCACCACAGCATGGCTTGATGAGTGGTGTACATGTCCATGCCTGGGATAGAAACCCATGAACCCTGGGTCTCCAAAGTGGAGCACTCAAACTTAACCACTATGTCACTGGGCCAGCCCCTCAATAAATACTTTTTGACTAAATGAATGAATGAATAATTGGCTTTAATTGTTCTTTTAATCAAGAGCTTCTTCAGGTGTATCACTGAAGGACAGACACATCTGTATATATTTTCTTAGGTGTTAAGAATGATGACTATTGG